AGTTGACTTATTGTCCGTCTGTTCGACGTTAACATCAAACCCTTTAAAAATGATAAAACTAAACAACATTTACCGAACAAACGAGTTTTTGGATATTATTTCCTATGGAGATGACCATGTTGTCCAAATCTGGAAATGCTTCAAAACAGCAAACCACATTTTTGAGCATGCAACATGTCTGCTGGATACCACGCGTATTGCTATTCCTCAGATTAATAAAAAAGTTTCCATAATAGGTTATCTCTTTAAAAAGTGCCTTTATTGAATATTTGGCTGACGAACTTTTGTGTATATTAACTTTTTTCAAGATACTGTCACAGTGAAATTGGAGACTTTTGACAATTTCCTTAATTTAGCTGAAGAAAAAGAATAAATTTGACGGGAGAACGAAGAATACCTTTCTCTTTTTAGCGGATTAACTTCCGCTTAATGGGATTATTTCCACGATCCGTAACAGGCGTGCGAGTGCAAAAAAAAACAGGGGACACATATGACCATTCTTTGAAATACTTTTTTGGAATACTTCTACCTGTTCCGTTTTTAAATAACGCTTGAGCGGAACCTATTGTTTACAGAAAACCATATTTCTAAGTGACTTACATTGAATAAGGCCTTCTATTGGCTGTCTGTGCAGTTACATGTAGAAACTTTGTTTACGCGCAGGACCAGCTGTGCGGTAAAAGAAAATCTTTTACCTAGAACTTTTGTGTTACTTCATTTTTTGCCAAAAAACTTCACAGAATAGTTAAATATAATTTTGTAAACTTCTAGCACCGCTTGTTTGTAAAAATAAATATGATTCCTAAATCTTCACTTTAGTTCCATTTGATCAAATTCGCATAAAACTTTCTTGTACTGGAAGGGATAATTATTCCACCTTATTCTACTAATTATGCAATTCTTCCACAGCACAATGTATATTAGAAGGAAGTTTCGTCCTGTCTTTCCTTATGGCATACGGAATTCCTTTTATATAAACATACTCATGAATTAGCAAAATTGAGAGCCTTTTTCGCCCAATAACTTTAAGAAAGAGGGCAGCTTTCCAAACCAAAGCCCTTCTTATTATTTAATCTACTTAGCTGATCAAAATAAGCTGTCCAGATATATACTAAACTACCCAGTTAAATTTCGACCTGAACTTTGTTTGCAGGATTCGCAGAACTGTAAACACTATCTGGACGTGCCATTTCACCTCGTATACGCTTAGGATTTAAAGGTTAAAAAAACTGTGAGATAATCATCTCAAGGCAAAAATCCGCCGAGTGTGGCAAACACTTATTCAGCGGTAGAAGTCGACTCACTTTTCTCTTAGCATAAGCACCGATTATATCCTCCCCTACATCTTCAACACCTTAACGCTCTCTATTCTTTCTTCTCAGGTAAAGCTTTCTTTAAAACAACTTTTCAGTTGAAATCAGGTCTTTACCTAGTATATTTGCTTTCAAACGAAGGCTGCACTTTAAGCTCACAATTGACTCAATTAACCTTTTAGTTTCCTCCTATTTTGCAAGAAGTTCAAGTCCTGCCAATTGGCACGTTTACCGGACAGACCATTAGGCCAGTGGGTGCGGTGTGTAATATGGCCGATAATTATGCGTAGCACCTCCCAGTGCTTGACTGAATGGTAATCCTGTCTCTGAAGGATGAAGACCTAAGTCAAGTGCTGGGCTGTACCCCCATCCTTCTGAGGTTTACGGATTTTGTGCGACGCGCGTAGGATGATGCCCAATGACGCACGTGTTCCCTGCTGCTAAACGTTTCCGGCGAACTAACAGCAGTTCTTGAGACAAAGTCTAAGCACTTCTTAAACCTGCAGCATTAGAATGTCGACTATAGCAATATGTTGGTAAAATAACAGGGTCGCCAAATTAAGACTAACTTTAAGACCTTAACTTTGATCGTCTGTAAAAATATCTCAGAGTATTTCATCGTGTACTGTGATCCAGCGGTGTCGTTCTTTAGGTGCCTGTATACATAATGTGAGGTTGCAATTAGGCAACAGAAAAGTGGAACCATGACCTTCGATGAAACATCTATGTTGTGGACATAGGTGTATCACATATTAAGGGTCAAATACCCACGGAACATTAAAGCAACGCCGTTTATCGAGTCCCATTTTCAAAATGTCGTGTTGATATTGTTCTCACATAGCCGGAGGACTCGGAACATCTCAACACCCGGACTTCTCCAATATTGTGTCCGCGCTAGCTTTTGCTTGTGACCACTGTTTCATTTAGAATGCCACTTAGGTATTTGCTATGGCTAATACTTAACAAGCGCAGGAAATCATCAAAGCCTTCTTCTCTAATGCGGAGGACATCGACCGCCATGTTGAGCAATCATCCTTCTACGAGGGCCTCTGATCACAGTGCACTCAGTGGCGTCCAGCTTAATCAAAAAAGCTCCGGGACATGCCGTAATGTATCTATACGTATTTTCTGACTCTCTACATGATACAGTGAGTTATACCGAAAAATCAAGACAAACTGTCTCACCTCCGCCAGTCAACGCAATACGATGGTCTCCTCCTTGCAAAGTCACCTGGCTTCCTTTTTGTCATTTTCCCTGAACATCAGTGTGGCAGACCTACTTCTCAGTTCTTCGCTGTCTGTGAAAACTAGCTTTACTAGAAAAAACGCAGGTTATAATCTCAGGTGATCTATACCCAGGATTTACTATGACCGGTCGATAACTGTTAACACATCAGAAATGTCCATTTCGGTTTCGTTCGCTTTTGTTTGTATGAGCATAGTATATAAGAAAAGTCCACATCATATAAATGACGGCGCTGACTGACCGAT